GACACTCACAGAAAAGCTAGCATCGAGGTACACAGCATATCTTGGGTATGGCTGAGGAAATACCCTATGGAAACTAGCTTCAAAAGCTGTCCCAGCTTAGCCTTCCATGAGCAGTGCAACAGCCTCTGGCTAGCTAATCATCTTTCTGCATGGCCAGATTGCAGAACACTTGCAGGCAGTAGAAGTCTTGACTGAATGATCTGGGAAGGAGACTAAGAGCATTCAGCAAAGAAGTCAAAATTCTTTATCTCCTCTTGTCTCTTCTTCCTGCCTCAGTACGTAGTGCCAAAAAAAACCCAAAACAACCAACAAGCAAGAAAAACAACAAGCAAAAAAGAAAACCCAACCCACAAAAAAAAATCCCCTACACGTAACAGGAAATGGAAGTTTGGATTTAGACAGGGGCACCAAGAGCTTCGTGCACAACAGGCATGTACTTAAATACTGAGAGGAAACGTGCATACCAGGAGGAACCCATCTACTGTTTCCAGATTTAACCTGCATAATCTACTGCTAATGGGGTGACTTGATGCCTGCACTGGGTCTTAGTTTCAAACTTCCCCATATGCAAAATACTGATATTTACCGTGTTAGTAGATTGTCCCAGTAATTCTACCTTTAGCAGAGACAGGGCAGTTGTTTATCACATAGCTGAATGCAATTCAGTTTATCTCATTTCTTAAAATGTGGCAAGCAATCTTTTGTCAAGTCAAGGAAAGGTGCTGTCAGCCACAGATCATGGACAGAGAGCTTTCACTCTAAAAAGCAATAAAAACCAAAAATGCCTAGAAATCATCCTGTTCTTGTTACTGTATTAACGCTGAATGAGTGATGTGAACAGATTCCAAATGTATGTATAATTTTCCTGTTTCTGACTTCCTACAGGTCTTTATTCAATCCTTATCCATCAAAACTGTTAACAGTATAAATCACTTTCCGTTGGAAACCACTTTCACTTAGTTCTTCTCTTTTTGCAGAAATTAGTCAAAGATACAAGCCATTTTACTATACAAATCTAGGAGCAAATATTGAAGATGATCTGAAGGAGTTAAAAGTGAGTAACTTTCTAAGCATTTCAAGGTGTCAGTTCCCCACATCCCCTCTCCCCAACCCCAGTTACGGCCAGATTCTGCCACTTTGAGCCCGATCACGCTTGAGCGACGTGATTTCCTTCTGTGATAAAATGGCTGGATTTGTGAGTGAGGGGAGAGCAGTGTGTGGCCTTTACCTCAACTTTAGGAATATTTTCAGCACCGTCCCCCAAAATATTCTTATATCCAAGTTTGCACGTTACGGTCTCGATGGGCAGATGAAAGCAGGTCGGATGATGAGTCTCAGAGGGGTGATGGGTCCTGCCTCACCTGGAGGCCAGTAACAACTGCGGTAGTGCAGGGGTCTGCTGCACTGGGACCTTTCCTGGTTTGCTCCTCTGTCAGCCCCCTGAGAGAAGTGACAGAGCGTACTCTCCTTAGGTGTGCAGGTGACACCACACCAGGACAACCAGTCAGTCCAGTCACAAGGGCAAGGCTGCCAGCTGCAGGCTAGAGGAATGGGGTGACAGAAACCTTGGGAAATTCGGAAAGGACAAATGCAACGTGCTGCACCTGGAACAGCCCCTGGCTTCAGTGCTGGCTGGGGGCTGCTCCCGGGCTGGGCCAGCAGCGTCCCAGGCTGGGCCAGCAGCGTCCCAGGCAGCAGATCGAGCAGACCTGCTCAGCGCTCACTAGTCCTGCCAGGTGAGACAGGGCTGAGGGACCAGGGCTATTTCAGCCTAGACATGCAGTGGCTTTTGGGGGGACATAAATAGCAGCCTGCCCCTACCTATGAGGAGTTTATCGAGATAAAGCCAAGCTTTTCACAGCAGCGCATAGTAGGAGGGCAAGAGACAGAGGATGTAAACTGAAACAAACTGGTTGGAAGAGAAAAAAAAACCATTTTTCCCCATGAGGACAGCCGAGCAGTGGAGCAGGCTGCCTAAGGAGGTTGTCCAGTCACCATCACTGGAGGTTTTCAACACTCAACTGCACAAAGCTCTGAGCTACCAAATCCGATCCCATAAGTGACCCTGTTTTGAGCAGGAGGTGGGCTTGAGGTCCCCCAAAGTCTATTTCCACAAGAGTGACACTCTGATTCTATGATAATACTTTGCAAAAGCTCCTCATATATGCATTGCCTCACTCATGAAATCATAGAGATTCAACAGCAGCAGAATCTGATTTAGAGTAAGTTTAAAAAAAAACCTCTGTAAATTTGTGGTAATTTTTGTCCTGCATTCAGGCAGTGTCTAATAAGTCCCAGCCTGCTTGAGACCAGGAAGCTATACCTCAGTAATAACAACAGGGAAAATTTGACATCAGATGTTTTTCCTGAGTGTCCAAGTCAGTTTCTCGTAGTTTTCTGGCTGTAGGTTTATAAACTATGATAAAAAAATATGTTTTCCTGATTGCAAATAAGAGAATGAGAACTTATTGAACAATTGAGCTGATTATGGAATCTTTTTGTCACAGATTTTATCAGTTTACTCACTTCACTAGTACTGACAGCTATTGGTGAGAACTCTTGGCATGAGGGGTTTAATCTTTGCAGTGAAGTGAGGTTCAGAAAAGTACATACCCAGTTGTTTTCATTAAGAAAAACAAATTCCTTTGTGAAACCATTCATTTGCAGTTTCCTTTAAAGCGCTTCCTTCTGTCGCCAAGTCTAAAATTGTGGAAATGAAAGTTTCTGGCTTAGGGAACACGTGATGTTTATGAAGCACCAGTGACTGTTCAAAAAAGCAAGAGAGTTTTGCAAAATGAAACGGGTTTCCTAGATCGGTTTGACCAAGCTAACTCACAGTGTGAAGTATATGCAGCTAATTGATGATAGCGGCCCCAAATCAGGATCATGGCCAATCATACTATCCACGTTAGCTCCCTGCAAATCTGCCTCTCGAATCATGGGGACCAAAGGCCTGTTTAGAAAACGGGCCACGAGTCTCTTACTTCCTCAGGAAGGAAAGCATCCATTTGGACTGGGTACAGACTACGAATGCAGCATCCAAGGCAAGTCGGTGTGGTGAACTGCTAGTACAGCTTCAGTAGCAACAGGAGGTAGAGGGTTTGGGCACAGCCTTCCTTCCTCCCCACCCTCGCCCAGCTCCCAGCAGCTGTGGAAGCAGAGTCCCCAGCCTCCTAACTAAAAGGACCGCAGAATGGTTGAGGCTGGAAGGGATCTCTGGATATCATCTGGTCCAGCCCGCCTGCTCAAGCAGTTCGGTTACTCAAGTGAAAACTAAGGACCTAAGGCTGTAATGCACTTTAGAGTGTCATCTTTTGCTTTTAGAAGGAAGGAAATTTTGGGGGAAGAGACAGCAGTTGTTGATCTTTAATCTGTGAAAGTACTTCTTGGGTTTAATTAAAAAAACCCAACAAACCTACTTTTAGAAATTATGAGTATGAAGCACTGGGGGAAATTGAGAAAATTTTTCCAGCTAAAAAAATTTCTTACTTCCAGCGAAGTCTGAATAGTGGATGGGAACATGAAAAGCACAGAACAGGAGTGGATTTTGCCTTCACTCTAGTGAAGTGAGAACGAGGGTTTACGGAAGGGAAATTGCACTGCATCTTTCTGAAGATTTGCTCTGAGCTCCTTGTTCCTAATACTCTTCATAAAAGTCAATGTGACCATACCTGAGTGTAAATCATCTCCCTCACCTCTTCCCAGCTGATGAACGTACTTACTAAATACAGATCCACAAACCAGGATGCAACGTTTGCTGCCTTTCCCTCAGCAGCACCCTCTCACTGAGATTGCCTGCAGAAAGTCTAGCTGTTAAATGCAAGACAGACAATCCAAACGCACTCTGTCTGGATTAAGCTCATCCTCGTGGAGGCAAGGGTGTTGTATTATATACTGCAGTTGCATTGCAGGCCTTCCTCCCTTCACTGAAGGAAAGGTTTTGCCTATCTGTAGCAAAGCAACGGGTATTTTCTGTCGGGCTGTGCTCTCAGTAAGAGTATGGGATCTCTTCCCACAGATTCATGGAGTCTGTTCCTCTAGGTCACTTCACTGTGAAGCTGTGCTGCTTCCTATTCTTCAGGTACTCCCTTTGGTTAAGCTTTTTGCCTATAACTTGATCCTTTGCTCTTTCTGACGCGCAGAAAGAATGGCCTGAGTCAAGTGAACTGCTGGATAGGATGCAATCCCTTCAAATGGATGCTGTAGCAGAAGATCCCAGTAATGGTCAAGGAGGTAAGTCACTTACTAGCACATCAGTATTCTGTATATTATGCCAAAGATAAGTTGTGTACACATACAAAGTCAGTAATCTTACTATTAAAGGGTTATGAAGAGAGCCAATTATTCAGCACTTCAGAAAGAACTGTAGTCACTGAAAAGACTGAGTTTGCTCCCAGGCTCCCAAAAGTCGTACTTACTGTTCTGAATTTTCCACAATCTACAGTATAAACCCATTTCACTTTACACTCTTCTGCTTTCCTCTCCATGCTGAAAATTTTGTTTAACATTAGACTTTTCGATGGTCACTTTGATAATTACTTTTCATATTTGATGTTTCTTCCCATCCCTTTAGTCATGCCAACTGCTTTGTCTGTAGGCTTGAATTTCAAGGAGACTTTCCTTTTTCCCCACTCCGGCCTTTCCTGTGAACGCTCTGAATACGAGCAGGACACATAATTATGACATATTCCTTTGTTTATGATCTTGCTCTCTGTGGAATCTGAGGAGCACTAATAGATTATTTTTCTCTCCTTTCTCTCATATTTTCTATCAAATCTTGGATGAGTTGCACGTTCCGTGGTTTCGTAGAGCCGTCTCGACAATACATGATGATATAGTTAGAGTTTTGTATTAATGTATCTGGAATTCTTTTACCCGAGTTTCTTAATGGCAAAGGATATAGGATTGTATTTGCAGCACTGATTCACAAGCAACATCAAATTCAGTAGAAATAAAATCCTGCTAAGTCAGCTCACACCATTTGACAGACATTATTAAATGAATAATATTAAACTGTAACACGCAACCAATAAATCTTCCCCAAAGCTAGCTTTGCCGTAACTGCTCTTCAGTAGAACTGATGGACGTAGCAGAGCAGCCCCACTGCTGTATTTTTACATGAGTATAGTTACATTTCCCTAGCAGAAATAATCGCAGAAGGCTGCAGCAGATTACAGGTGCTCTGGTGTTTTAAGTACGAAAGGCTTTATTGGGAATCTCACTGCAGAAGGATACTAACTTGACAGCCTGTCAAAGTCATTTTTTTTCCCTCCAGTCAATAGGTGTTACTCAGACAGTGGTAGTAAGAGATGTCCCACAGGATCTGTTCCCACGTCTCAAGCTTGCCCTGGAGAACGGATGCCATATAGTTTATGCTAATAATGAATTGCGAATAGCTGTCACTTGATGCCGTTGTTTCTGTATTAGCTTGTTCCTCCCACTCCTCCTCTAGCAGTGGTGACAAAAGCAGTAGAGCGAGTCAGACTGAAGGCGTACTGATATACAGCCGTCAAAAGGAACTAGTTTTGGTCCTGCCTAATATGGACTGAATTCATGTAATTTGGGGGGAAAAAAAGAAAAAACCCCACCCAGTTCACTGGCATTATCTGAGCTAACGCACACTTTATTCCGACTGTACAGTAGTCTGTAAGAGTCCCTTGCTTTAGGCAGTGTACAGTGTTTTCCAGACAAGTATGAAGCTTTCAGAACTTTCAGAAAGCATCTGTAGTCCTGCCCTTAAAAACACAAGAACAAGTAGTAATAAGCAGATTTTTACATTCTTCTTAGTCTTGGAACGCTGGCGCATGATCCAGATCATAACTCGGCCCAATTGAAGACTGAAGCAGAGCTTCCCGTGATAGAGAGAAGTAGTTTGAAGGATGTAAATGGCACAGACTATTTTATCTGGTAGGCGTTACCTGTAAAAATGTGTTCTTTGGGACTATGAAGAATGAACTAGACAAAAAGGATTCATCACAAAACACCCAGACGGGATATTTTACCTAATTATTTGCAAACATGACTTCAATGACAAATTATTTGTGCTGTATGAAGTAACACCTGTCACAGTGGTGTTATTTTTCATCCTTTTACACTCCCAATTTTGCACTGATTAAACTCCAGTTAGTGCCAGTGGAGACACCCTAGTCCATCAGACCCTGCAAAAGCCTCCAGGAACTGTTTGTTTCAGCAGTTGAGAACTTGATGTCAGTATAAGCAGAGTATGCAGTGAATTCTGACACCAATTGAGTGAGTTTTTGACACTGATACCTTAAACAAGCCTGTACTTCCTAGATAAAAATCTGTAATACGTCTCAGTAAAGGCATTCTATAAAATAACACACAGCTTATGCTGGAAGTAACGTTGTATTTTCACCCTTTGTATATTGCTATAATATTAAAGGTAGATTAGTAGATTCTAGTGTCATCACAACAAGTAGCATACTTGCATTTGGATGCATTTCAAATATTTCATTTTCCTCCCTTTCAGATCAGCCTAATTCTCTACACAGCTCTCAAGGTCCCATCACCAGTCAGGCTGACGAAGCCCTGTTTGCTGCCTCGCCTCAGAACCAGCCTGTTGAGAGCTGCGAGACCTCATTTACTGCTGCTGATATTCTAGAAAGAAAACTTCAGCATGAATACAACTACCATGTGTTTGGGAGCCGGATGGATAAAGCAGTTCCACCTGTAGTGTACACCCCTGAAATGAGAGAGGAAGAAAGGAGACGAAGAGTTTCCTACGATCCATTTGAAAAGCCATCTCCTGCTCCTCAACGGAGTGAACTGTATCCAAGAGCTGAAAAAACAGGATCAAACACTAATCCATATTTTTGGCCACAGGCAGCTGCAACAATGCCGAAACGGGGAAACATTGATAGTTTTTACAGGCCAAACCCTAGCAGTCTTCCAGCGGGCAGCACAGAGGGTCTCTATGGATTGGGTTCAGCCGGTACCTTTAGCCTAAGTAAACCTCCTGTGCCTGAATCTGGCGCACACCTGCAGTCGCATACCAACGCAAACTGGTATCCAAAGAACGGAGACACAGATACAGGTGAGATTCCTCCTCTCCCAACACCTATGTTTCTGAAAACCCACTTCTCTCAAAATGAAGTGGTCAAGTGTGTTTCGTAGTTTATGTAACAACCGCCTGCTTACCCATCACAGTTGATCTGTGATAGAGCAAAAGTGAATTTATTTCACAAAGTTCTCTTTGTTTACTTGAAGTTACTTGAGGGGGTGAAAACACTCTAGCTTCGACTTCATTATGCTGCTTTCACAGATTTCAGGCTGTTAATTTCAAGGGAACTATTTCTAAAGCACCAGTGTAATAGAGGAGCATCAGACCCAATGCTTAACTCTTCAGCTACCAGCCAAGCAACAGCAGACACTGCTACAGCAGCTACCAAAACCAAGAGGTGCTACCAGTCATTCTAGGAAAGCAAAGGAGAACTTCTGCCTCTCAAAAATGTAACGTTCATACCATAGGTTGTGCTTGTGCAGAAATGGCATTTGTAGCATTTTAGAAAATAGGTGGGTATTTTTGGCTCGATTTGCAGCAAGGGAAGAGACTCCCGAGCTCAGGGGGCCAACAAGGAGGGAAGGCTCCTAACCACCTTCTACAGAGAGCTCTGCCTGGTGCTAACGGGGAGCTTCTGTCGGCATTTGCTAGTGAGCTGTGGAGTAGAAGGGTATGGAGACAAGGAGGAGAACACTGAGCACTGGCAAAAAGTGTAAATAAATGATACCTAGAGGCCTGCAAGATGTAACTTTAGGAACTAGAGACAGCATGAGATATGTTAGCCTGGCCCTGCTAAATACTGGATATTTTTAGTGTGGCGTTCTTTTCCAGATCGCCTCACAAGGAAATCAAGGATGCCTAGCTGTTTACAGGCAGAATGCCCCAAAGGTGTTATTCTGTTAAATTATTTATGCAGAGGCTGTGATTAGTTGTTCATATGAGTTTATTTCCTGAAGTCAGTCTGAGAGCTGTCATGTCAGAAGGCAGGGATTAGACCTGTTGACATCACTAATGAAGTAAAATCTTTGGTTTGAAAGAAGAAAAGAAGACAGTTGTTATAGGGAGGCTGCGTGCAGTAGTGTGCCGGATAGCAGACCGAGGTGCAGAAGAGCTGCAGAAGATCACTGCCCTGGGCAGGAGGTTACATCCCTGCCAGGCATTACTGCCACCAGCAGAAGACGCAGTGGTGTCCCGTGCCTCTGCTAGAGCCGGTCCCAAGCAGCCTGCTAGGAGAAACCGTGGTCAGTCTCAGCAGTGAGGGCACACCTGGGAGCTTGGCATTTTCCAGTCCGAGTGCCTGCTAGGAGGCGGCTCAGTCCCTAACGCGGCGCGCTGGGATCCCGCACTGCTGTCTGCTGGCCAGGTATTCGTACGCCCACGTGGACACCCACTGCCCTCGGTGGGATCCCACGATGGTTAAGGCTAACAGTCACCAAGCAAAACACGGTAAGGTCATTGCTTTAACCAGAGTTACTCAAGGAGTACAATCCTGTTAATTAAAAAGCTGCTCATCTCTTTGTATTTGTCCTGGTTTTGGTTAAAGCAGAACAGGACAGTATTTAAGAGCACAAACTGTGTACTCACACTGTTACAAATACAGCCGTCATTTTTAAGTACATTTGCTTTTCTATTTACATAATGCTGCTGGCATTTTTTTGTTTTCTCCCTTTGTTTAGGTAACAAGGATTCCGCTTCTTTCACAAGGGGAACTTTTGCGTATTGTTCTGGTGCATCCAGACTAAGTGCAGGTAAGTGCTGTAGCCTTCCAGCTGTCCTGGCAGCCAGCAGGCTGTGCATTGCGTCCTGATCAGGAGCGAAAAACCTCAGGATCTTGAAATAATGTATGTTACTGATTAATACCCCTAATGACAGCTAAAGTTATCAGTACCAGTATGTAAACTAATTCCTATCCCTATCAGGACCTGTGCACACCATTAAATGTGTATTTGGTGGATCAAGGACAACATCATCTTTCACATAAAAGAGCTTTTAAAAACCACGAAGGCATTGCAAGATCTCCTGTACGCCTAAACCGGTCACTTTCTTAGGTTAAGCATCAACTTGCTGCGACTGCCCAACTCCTGAAGCATTTGGGACACCTGTCCTTTCTTGCTCTGGATTTTTAATATAAATCCCTAGCTGCAGGCTTCGTGCTGACCAGCCTTCCGTGGGGCACAGGTCTCTACAGTTCAGCTGACTTAAACTCCTGAAATTACGTCCTGTCCTTCAGGAGTTGTTATGCCCCTTTCAAGCTGTGTTGCTTGGGGCACCCTGAACTCTTTAATTAACCCTTTCAAGGCTTGTCCAGTTTGTAAGTGGTTTCCATGTGCAAAGAAAACTTGAAACAGCAAGTTTCTGTCTTCTTGACTGTACGCCCCTTGGTGCCTTTGGAAGGTGACCCAAATGTGACAAGCAAGCAGAGCGTCGAGGCTTGGGGAAGGCGATTTATAGGCACAGTAACTTTTAATACTGACAAAGCATTTGTACATGTTTTCGTATCTTGTGCTAATTTCATTTTCTTACCAGATAAGAAAATAGCAAACATGTAAGATTTCTTCATTTTCTAGCTAAAAATATGAACATATTTCCTGGCAACTTACTGCTGGGGATTCAGGCTTTAAAATAAAGGAGTAGGGTTTTTTTGGTAAAGTATCTCAGAAAACCTTCTAGTCTTTTCTTAGAACCAAAAGTACAGAACAAGGGAAAAAATAAAAATTAAAAAAAAAAGAAAAAAAAACCCCAAACATTGAAACTAACACTGAGCAAGTAGCATGTACTGATTCAATATGAAAATAGATACAACTGCAGAATATACTTCTAGATAGCAGGGATGAAATACATTGCAAAACAGAGATGACATCAAGACAGCATGGTATAAGATGGAGTATAGAAACCTTATGAGCAACTAGAAATTATTTTCTGGAGTCTCACAGAACTTAAGTCATAACTGTAAACCTGAAATTAAGCGTATGAAAAGTAAAGCTGAGAGGCAGAAGTAAGGCTTTAAGATTTAAACAAAAAGCGCTTGCAAGTAAAAACTGAGCTCCTGAAGCTATTAGCCACCAAAAAGCGAGGCTGCAGCTATAGATTCCTAATGCACAGGGAACACTATTTACAGTCGAGTAACTACCAGCATGTAAGGCTTAGTTATGGTACTTTGTCGTGGAATAGAATAGGATGGGCTTCCACTAAAGTACATTTATGTCACACTGCATAATGAAAATATGCTGACAGTTGCCAGTAAATGGCCATTTCTACATTAAATGCAATAAAAACATTTAACCACTTCCCCGATTGGCAGAACCTTCTTCCTCTTTACCTCCTCCTTATGTTACTTCTTAACATTCTTGAACCATTTTGTTGTTTATGAAATTGTATTGAATTCCTTATACAGAAGATTCAATCAAGTACAACATAAGTAACAGTTCTGGAATTCAAATTGGATCCCACAATCACATGAAGATTGATGAGCACAATCAACACATCAGCACTTCTCCAGCTGCTACACAAGCAACTTATATGCATTATGAAGCAATGGGTATATTTGGTAAGAGAAATACCTCCCTAGTTTTGATGTGTTCTCCCCATATATTTATCTGAGAATCATTTGGGTTGGAATGTACGAAAGCAGTACAGCTTTCTCCCTCCGATACCTGAAAAATAACTGTTTGGGTCCTCTTCTACTATATACTTAAGAGTGTATAAAACAAGTAAGGGTTTGTGCTAATACTGTTCTGTAAAACCACATATCTCACTTACCCTGTAGTTTCATGACCTCTTGTGAGACCCCAGATACAAGTATAGATGTATGTGTGTCAAGAACAAGAGGAATAACAACACTCAAATTGGCAGAAGCAAGGTTAGGACTGGTGGTCCTCACCTGACTTACAGTTTAAATCAGAATATCCTGAGTTGGAAGGGACCCCCAAAGATCATCGAGTCCAGCGCCTGACACCACACAGGAAACCTGAAAGTTAAACCGTGTATCTATTGTCCAAATGCTTCTTGAACACCGACAGGCTTCGTGCCATGGCCGCTTCATTGGGGTAGAACTTGAAAGATTTTGAAGTTTAGTTTGTTTTTGTTGATCAATACTGAATGAAACTATCCCTGTGCATTCCTAAGTAAACAAATTAATAGAGTCCCAGAATATAAAACACATCATACAGACATCAGCCAGCTGTAGAAGAACTCTAGGAAGGAGCTTTTCAATTATGCAGGTTTAAGTGACAAAACTATGATGGCCCCAGATCAAAAAGCAGGTCCAGCAACTGACCTGTGAAAACATGTTCTGACTGGGAGTTTCTATCCTGGCATTGGGTAATGCTGCCTCCATGAAACCCGCTTCTGGTTGTATCACTAAAATTCTGTCTCCAGATATTGCCAGTAAATAGTTGGGGGAAGACAGGAGAGAGAGCGAAAGGAGCAGAAGAAGTGTGCAACAATGCCATTTTCTTATACTCTTTTTCTTCATGGCAGACAATGCTACTGTCCTGACCGAGAAACATCTGAATCTAGTGAGAGAGAAGCTGGCTAAGCAGTGGAAGCACTGTGCTCGTAAGCTGGGCTTCTCTGATCCCGAGATTGACGAAATCGATCACGACTACGAACGAGATGGACTGAAAGAAAAAGTTTACCAGATGCTGCTGAAGTGGGTCATGAGGGAAGGCTCCAAAGGTGCTACCATTGGAAAGCTTGCCAAAGCCCTCTTTGGCTGCCGAAGACTGGATCTCCTTACTAGTTTGATGCAAATCAACGAGGAATAAGTTGACTGAGAACTGGGCGAAAATGAGGGTATTTTTTCCTGAAGACCTTCCAATAACAAGTCATAATTCTGAACAGAATTTCTGGAGCTCTCCTTTTTGCACAGACTTTTTGGAACACATTTTTTCTGCCAAACAGGCTTTGGTGAATACCTCCAGTAAATCAGAAAGTTTATGTCAAGATAATTGGTCTTCCAGAGGATAAAAGAAAATAAGCATCTTCATTCCGATTAAAATGGTTTTCTGAAGACAATAACAACCAAATGCAATCGTAATATCAATTCAAGGAGAGTGCATTGTACAAAATTTCTAGATTCTGTCTTGAAACGTGTTGGCACCCTTGTTCAGGTCTGGACAAGGGCATGTTATTATTACTGAATCGCTTTGCCGAAATATGTGAAAGACTGACTCACTCCGTGAAAAACTTGGACAGAAAACAAAAATCAACTCTTAAATTTTGCCAGAAGTGCCAATACTCAAAAGGGGACTATCCCAGATTGCTCTGAGTCAATACGATACTGGTTTTAACATCTTTTTATAATGTTTATTAAATACGTGTGCCTGGACTTATGCAGAAGAGCAGTGGGAATAAAAGCAAAAATTAATTTTTCTTAAAAAGCAAGTAATTGATAAAATACTCTTCTTTCACAGGTTAATATTGCATTAGATTTTTACATTGCTTGGTAGAAAAGATTTTGCATGAGAAGTTTCTCATCTGCTTCATGAAATTGTGAAAAAAAAAAAAAATCAGTCTTTATGCAACCCAGAGTAAAAGCTTGGGAATATGAGAGCTTTGGGAAGGGGAAAGTACAGTATTACCACATGGCAGAAGACCCATTCTCCTCACTTTGGGGGCTCAGGGCATTCCTAGTTTCTGAATCTCTTAGGCTACATTTATACTAGTAAATTAAATGTGCCGGGGAACGTTCCTGGGTGCTGAGGGTAACCGGCATGCCGCAGCCTGCTGCTGGGACAGCACATTCTTTAAATCTCCAAAATACCATACAAGGGCTATTTCACAGCGCTGAAGTTGCGTCAGGGGACGCTGGAACAGCCCTGCAGCGTAGGCGATGGTATCCCAGTGCCCGAGAACGTCCCTTGCCACTCTAACTTACTAGTACTGACATCATCTCAGTGTGCAAGATCAACGACAGAAGAATTGCTGAGCTGCAAGTTTTTCTGCCCTAAGAATAATTACGCCAGACTCTTCCTATGAAGGATGATACCTCCTACTGTCATCAAATCTGCAAAGATTTCCAGCAGATGTTTTGGACCAGGTCATTCTTTATGCTGTAGAAAAAGCAGCAAGTGATTGTTAGCTTCTGGTTATTGTCCAGAAAGCTAGCCATTTAGTAAAAGTGTAAGTTAGAACGGATTTCTGCTCTTTGATACAGCAGCCACCATTTTAGTAGAAGCAAAATGAAACTGGAGTCATAGCAAGCACCAACATATTTGTCATCTGTAAATCTACTTAGCACGAGGCAATAGTGGAAGTCGCCCCCAAAGTGGAGAGTTTAGCAAAAATCAATACAAAGAGTGTGTCATCACCCAGACACTGGAGCACTTACATACTTATTGTTAATATATGCTAAAACCTGTACTTTTCAGTGAGGCTGGCTGGGGGTGTATCAGTATATACCACAGGAATATTTATGGTTTTGATTTCTCAGAATTTATTGCATCGCCTTACTGTTTTGACTTAGCGACATGCTAGATTTTCTATAAACTCTTGCATATAGTGGACAGATAAAAGACATCATTCTCTAGTATAATGAGCATATGCTTTCCAGAAGTAATAATTTATTCTTCTTGAAGCAGGCAGAGAAATACGCAGGGCGGGAGGAGAGCCTTCTCCTCTGGGTCAGTCCACAGAGAGGTACAACCACCAGCTGCTCTGGTGCTCCATGAAACACATTCCTGAACAGATCTACAAAGTCCATTTACATTCCAGTGAGGTTGGTTTCGCTGTGCTGCTGCATCAATTCCCTACCCCTCATTTGCTTCTAAGTCTCACAGACCTACAGTCTTTACACAACATGTTATTTTCCCCTTCGTAAGATCCTTATTTGGTACACAGAATGAATCGTGATCATTTAATGGGCATACACCAAACGCTTCGTTTTCTCTTTATCAAACAAAGCAAGCCTGGACCTTACGTTCTGAAACAACAACAAAGCTGTAGAGCACAAACATGAAGCATCTCAGAACCAGACTTAGGCATCGGGCAGTCCTAAACCAGCGGGATGCAGGGGATGAGGGTAATTTTTGCTTCGGTGTTGTCAAGTCCAATTGTAGACTACTGCTCGTGGTTCAGGTGACATTGTGGGCAGTATGGAAAACAACCACAGAACCGAAAGCCAGAGACAATCTCTTTCAGTACACTGCTTACAGAACTCAATCACAGAGAAGATTGATTCGGCATCCCGTGCAGAAAACACAGAATACTACAAGCTCTTTAGCACATTGTGGGAAACCACATCACAGGACCCAATGCCTGGAGGCTGCAGCCAGGCATGCCAGAATTAGAATACATATTTAATAGTAAGGATGATTAACTACTGGAATAAACTACCTAGGGAGTCTGTGGATCCTCTTGATAGCTTTTAATTAAGACTGGTCTTGTTTCTTAAGATGGATACAGTCAAAAGCAAAGCTGTAGGTCTCAAAGCAAGGTTAAAAATGTGAAATGTAAAAGAGAATGGTGTACCAGAGGTCCAAAGAAAAGAGTTAGTGCTCTCCTCTAAGCTAAAAATTTACAGAAACGTTAAGTATGACAGAGAGAGGTCAGCTAGTATTAATTTACTGGGTTGCTGATGTCACTTACCAGCCCCAAAAAAAAAAAAAAAAAAAAAATCAAGGATGGAGTTGATTTTTGAAAAACAACCCATCACGACAGCTCAAAAATGCAGGAAAATAATGGGAGCAAGGAAGAAGGAGAGAGATATATTATGGCACAGATCAGATACCCTTCATGGCAAAAAACAGAAGAGAAAGGACAGAACAGTAATTTTACATCCAACTGGCAAGCTGTCAGCCTCAGGGACAGAGGTGGCAGCAATGCAGCCACCTTACAGGGTTTTTTCATAAGATGGGTGAGGTGCAAGCCAGGCAGAAAAAGGCTGTGGGTCGCAGCAGCAGACCTTCTCGTGGTCTGTCCTTGAAGAACCTATACAGCAGGTGAACTCATCCACTTATCCCCAAGGATATTACGTTTTCCCATTTTAAGAGAGTAAGAGCTTTGAGGCTTCAGATCATGGTTTTATTGCTAGTTGAGTTCTGCTCACAGAAAGCACTATGAAAGAGTTCCCTACCTAGAATTCTTGTGTTCCTTGGAATCACTTGTTTTTGCTTTCTCCTGTACTCTGGGAAACAAGTCTAGGAGCTTTTTCTGCAGAGGCAAAGCTAGAACACTCTTGAACAGCAAATGATCAAGTACCATTGATTAGATATTAGGAAATTATTAGATATTAGGAAAAATTTCTTCACAGAAGGAGCGGCCAGGCGTTGGAGCAGGCTGCCCAAGGAGGTGGTGGAGTCACCATCTCTAGAGATGTTTAAAAAATGTGTAGATGTGGCACTTCAGGATATGGTTTAGTAGGAATGGTGGTTTTGGGTGGACGGTTGGACTCAATCTTAGAGGTCTTTTCCAACCTACGATTCTATGATTGAAGTACAGCCTCCACCTTGTAACTACAATCATTGTTACACAGCAGTCGATCTGTGCTGACATTCTTAAATGCAGAGAAGATTAGAGTCCATGTAATTATGAGCAATTTATTTGGTTAATTTTATTACTGTGTCCCCATTAACAGCATACAAGCAGCTAGGAATTTTGGGGAATTTTTATTGCTTCCAAAATAATTGCTAAATAATACCAATTAATAATGCTGAATGAAAAACTCCGAGAGGACACTGTTGCAAGGATCTGATATGCCAACTTCTAACTGAGATGGCAACATACAGATCCTCTTCCTCAGAGGCCAGTTTCCAAGGAGAAGCAATACTTGAGAACTTGGCTGATCAAGCAGCTTCAAGTCAACTACGTCACTTTTCGCTGATAGATTTTTCATCATTATACTCCAGCAAATGAAAGCCTTCTCTCAGCTTTGGAGGGATGTGGAAAATAGAGTAAGAGTCTCCGAGTCTCTGACATACGTCCAGCCTTGTAGGTGGTGAGAGGGAGCTACAGTGATACAAAGTAGGAAGGATCACCCAGTACAAGCAGGGCCACACCAGAGCTAACTAGCACTTGGGAGGGCTTTCTTCCCTGGATCCTAGTGCCCTCTGAGCATTTTTTTCCACCCCTTCCTCATCCGAGCCTCTGCAGAGCGCAGGGAGTGCTCCTCGCGGCGTGCCCGCTTGCCCCCCAGCACACCAGTGAGCGTCGGGAGTCTGATGCTTGTTCGTTCCTCCCCGCAGAACGGCAGCTGGGAAAGCACGGCACCGCACTCTGTCCTTCCTACGGCCCCTGGGGGGAATGGAAGGGGGAGGCTGGGATCAGAACAGCGTCCAGGGTGGGAGGCTAGAGGCTGTCTTTGTGCTGGAGGCAGCACTGCCTACGAGTGACGCAAAGGAGACCAAACTCCTGACTTACGCTGGGTTGCCTCTCCTGCTCCTCCTCTACAACTCTAAGTAGGTCACTTCCTTTCTCTTTAGCACGGTTTCCTCATCTCTTTGGGGCAGATGCTAACTTCTGCCAGAACGAAGATGTGATCAGATAATAAGCATTAAGGCTTATAGAGCTCAAAGAGACGCTTGAGGAGAGCTGCTTGAGACAAAAATCTACGGTAATTGCCTTAACAGACCAGTAATACTGCTTGGATTTTGAGCGATGGGTTGCAATTCCTGCACGCCCCACACACATCTCACGTCAAGAGAACTAAATGCAGCGCTGGAAGGGACGTCTGGGTCAGCGAGGTCACTTAAAGGGGTTCATACAACCCCTTCCATAAACATATCAAGAATCACAGAATGGTAGGGGTTGGAAGGGACCTCTGTGGGTC